ACCCGATCTATGTTTCTCTGCTCGTTTATTTTTTCTCTCTTTCTTCTAAAATTCGTCTTTTTTGCAGAGACCTTCTGACTGGCGGCTTGTCTCATCCGCCATCTTAGCTCCTCCCGGTTCCCACTACTTTAAAAATAAAGTCCAAACTCCCCAGCCTTATATTCAAGGGTCACAATCTGACCCCAAACTACTTTCCCAAGCTTTATCTCCTAGTAGTCTCTGTTCACAGGAACCCAGTGCTCCAGCCGAGCCAATCTGCTCATTGCCACCGTGTAAATGCCATCTTTGCCCCTTTGTCTACCACATTCCATGCTAGCCACCCTCAAACCACACTATAGCCACCTAGCCCAAAACAAAAACAAAAAAAAACTGAGCTACCTGTTAGAGGAAAGCAAAGATAAATAAGACATTGTACCCAGCCTCAAGGAGCTTACAGTGACAAGGCTATATATTAATCCTTCCTAAACTTCAAGATTCAGCTCAAGTCCCTTATCTTCTTCTACCCATTTACAGGATTCAGCAAGAAATATTTCTCCTAACTCTTGAGTATTCACTATGTGCTATTCATTTGGGTACATCGTAAGCAGCCTAGATGAGCAGCTTATTAGGTGTATACCCTTCTTCTCCCCTAAAGTGCAAGATCCATGAGGGCAAAGATTGTATTTGATCTCTTTGTAAACTCCAGCATCCAGTGTCTGAAATATAGGAAATGCTCACTAGCAAGTGTGTTGCTGCTCCCAAGCATGAAAGCCCTTTCAAATGAAATTTTTTCTTCCCTGGCTGTAAAACATAGAAGAACAATTTAAGAAGTTCTTAGGGCGCTGCTTACACTGGTATCAGTCCAGTTGTCTCTTTATCTGATCTTACTCCTTCATTACAGGCAATAGTACCTGTAGTAAATATTAATGTATTTGTATTTCTCCAAGTTAGAATTTTATGCATCTTATAATTTTCACTAGTATTTTCATATATGTACCATAATCAAGGTACAGGGTTTTATTAAAGCTAATGAATTATTATAGTTCAAAGGGAGGTGAAAACAGTACTCTGTTCATGAATTTGATAAAGGCCCCTGGAATTAGATTCTGTTAAGGCTTTAACTCTACACACATATATTCAACATTATTCATATTGCCCTTATTGTCAGCTATCTCCAGCTCATGAATAATGGTGATTAAGCCCATTCTTAAAAGCAATGCATTCCTTGCTTCCTCAAATCAAATTTCTGTAAAGGGAAATCCTGACTGCACATACTATATCCTATCCTGTTCCAGGTTTAGATCCAGCAAAAACCTACAGATAAGAGAGAAAGTTACAGGTCTTTATGAGACTGGCTGAATGAAAAGAGCAGTGAGATGCAAAAGCAGGAGTTGCCTGGACATTCTGTGCCTACTGAAAGCGATACCTCCACAGATGATGAGTGTCCAATCAAATCTCCAATAAGCTCCAGTGAACATGAAGGGGCATTTTCTTGCTGTTTTTTAACAGGCTGGCTGGCTTGTTTGTTCACTCTTCCAAATCCCCACATGTTAAAAAAACCTAGAAAAACACAGTCATTTCAGTCATTTCCAAAATTACTGTGTTCTTTATTTATAATAGTAATATGAGATCAGAAAAACAAAACTTAAATGCAAAGATGTCCCACATTTTAGTCAAGGGCTAAGTGGATGGTACCAAGCACTATGCTAGGGTTTTTTAAATGTTATTTCCTTTCATCTTTCTTAGCTAACCAAGTTTGTTCCTCATTTCTTTTTATTGCCCTACTCACCCATTGGTGAAGGTGTGTTAACATAATAAAAAGAGAGGCAGTGGGAATGAAGGAAGAGAGAAGTAAAAGGCCTGAATGGCAGTGTCTAATTGTCAAAGAAAACAGGGTACAACTCAGATCTATCAACAAAGCATAGTGGAAAATTGTATGTGTATGTACAAAAACAATACCCTAGGACTTAGGTAAGTCAAAAGAACCAGAAGAAACTACAGGTACCACCACCTTATTTCTTATGCAAAGCTTGGTAACCAATTTATTCAAATATCTGGAGTTTTATTTTTCAAATAAAATACCTGAAAACCAAGAGCTCATGAAATTATGATATAAACACACAAAAAAGTGGTTTTTTTCCATAAATAGAATTCAATGTCAAGGCTAAAGAACACTTTAGTTTGGCATCTGATGGTACAAATTCTGTTTGTATACCAGTCAAAATTATAGACAATATAAATGAATAATTACTTCATTTGGTCTTTTAGATTGCCAGAAAATAACAGTTTTCCCTCAAAACAATAAAAATCCCGGTTGTCTTGAATTGAAATAAAGAGACAGTTCTACATTAAAGCAATATTAAGATATGAATCCCAGATCTCAGTTACCACATGCTTTCTGTAAATATGTCATGCCTATTTGGAGCACATCCTACATTCTAGTGGTTTCGCATAACCTTTCTTCTGCTTTTCACATGAGAAAAAAGAAAGGGGGAGAAAGACTACCTTTTGGGGGAGAGACACACACCTGTTGGTACAGGTTCAGCTGTAAGCTGCTGTTTTTCTCGTAACTCCCAAATGCGTACACTGCCATCTTCTGAGCATGAGATTAACTGCCTGTCAGAACAGAAAATCAGTAAGCACCATGGAGGGCCAATGTTAAATTTGCAATGAAAGAAATCACTGGAGCCCTCAACTGCTTTTATTCAGCTCTTAGCAGGAGCTGATAAAAATCACAATTTATCATGGCTTTACAATGTAAACTAAAAGCACTCTTCAGGAAAGGCATGCATTATACTAAGTTACATTGGCTCAAATGCAATAAATTTGTTCTTTCCATTTTTAAAAATGCATTCAGGAAAACAGAGTATGAATTACACTTTCGCAATGTCCTGAGCAGCCCCCTTTCCCTCCTCTCACTGTATCTCTTGGGGTGCTTCTCACTCTAAAAATATCCTGAATAGAAAATAATGCTATTCCTTTCCAATAATTTTCATCCGTAGAAACTCAGCAGCCAAATCTACCCTGAGAGGAAAACCCTCACTTACAGTCTTAGACAACAAGGAGACTACCATTGATTCTGGCCATAAACAACAACAACAAAAAGGTGGGTTTATGGAATATATAAAAAGAAAAATTAGTACATTGTAAGTGCCCCAGTCTTTTACTTTATTAAATAACAAATTTTAAATAATCTTCTTAAAATGAAATTCAACATAATTCATTTGATCCTTGCATCTGTAAATTCTGTAACATACTGCCACAGACTCTTCTGCTAAGAGATAGGGGGCATTCTGTTTCCAAAAGAACACAGCAGGTCAAGCCATGGAGCCCACCAGGTAACTTAGACACCCGAGAAAGGACACTGGTGGCCCTGGAAACCGTGACTTCTTTCATCTATTGCAGAACAGATAGGAACATGTACCTGTTTGGAAGTTTGTCGATGTGCAGGACATTGGAGTCATGGGCGGTTTTCTGGCAGGCAATCACACGCTTCATTTGAAGGTTATACACATATAAACCCCTTCCAACTGCAGCAAATACATTCTGGGGAAGAGAGTTCAGAAATAGACATAAAACTAGTACTTACTACTACCTGGTATAATAGATTTCCAGCCCTTTCATGACATCAGAAAGCCATTGTTAACTTGCCTATTCCTAGGCTTCAGCCCAAATTCCTGTACTGCCCTCTGAAGCCCAAAAATGTCAAAGCACTAGAGAAAGCTTAGAGCATTTAGAAGGTAGAAGAACACAACCACTAATACAGAGAAAACTCTGCATGTTATATCCCTTAGCATCACTTTCTTTCTCACTGAAACACGATAGCATGACCGCCAGCCTGGCCCTACAGCAGAAGCTGCTGAGGTATAACCAGAGTTTTTATTCACGTAATACTGTACCCTTGGGAAAATTACCTAGCTTCTTTTGCCCAGAAAATGTGAACAAAATTACCTGCACTCCACATCTTAAGCAATCAAGAGACATAAATAATACAAAAAAGCATATGTCATAATGTCATTATCATTGTAAGATCCTCTGAAATATTTTTTCCAAATGTATTGGAAATAAATACCTTTTCACTGAAACAACTTTAATCTTTTAAAAGCACTTTCACTAGTACTTATCTCACTTCAGCCTCACAACATCTTTTTAAAGTAGGAAGGCAAGCATTACTGCCATTTTCCAGATGATCAAGTTAAAATTAAAAGGAAATGAAAGTCACACAAGAAATGACACATGGAGTCAATATAAGAATCAAGGTCATGTTACTCCAGTCCCTTGCTCTTTCCTCACACCACACACACTCATGCTAGCTTTTGAAATTTTTGCAGGTTACTACACTTCTGGTAGCACTTGTCTTAGAATCACTCATTCATACTGAGTAGGTTCCCTCCTGAGGCAGACCTTTCAAAAACCCATACAGATGGCCTTCCTGTTTAGACCCTGCGCCCTCCAACCTTTCTCATAGTCTCAAAGGCTACAAACCCAACTCGGATCTACAATATCTGAACAAAAGCATGCCCCCAAGGCTTGCCAGAGTGTCAATCTGGAAGGCTCCCCTCAACTCCCAGGACTGGTACTTCGCACTTGCAAGCTGAGGACCAGTGCCAGGGGCATTACTGAAAACAGCTAGCCAGTGCGCTAAAATAAAGAGCCCTGTGGGCTGCATTCAATGTAGAACCCCCAGAAAGTAGTTCTAAGTAGTTTATCCAAGGTCAAGAAATTATAAATACATCTAGAGAATTCATGAGCTTTGGGGGCTGCATTTACTCAATGGAGACAGTCTATCCATCACCTGTCATCAATAATTAATGTAGAAGAGCCCCTAAGAAAAGAAGGAAAATTAGGGAAAACTGTATAATGCTTTATCAAGCATTTATAGTAGCTAATAAACTTAACCAAAACTTTTAAGATAAAAAGGAATATAAAACAAAAAGTTTTAATATAAATTTTTACAAAAGTAAGAAAAAGATATAAAATATATATATAATTTTTAGGGCTACAACTCTTAGAGACCTAGTCTTCATCTTTTTTGAGACCGTATTGTTCTTATCATATATATTTAATTTTTTAATTAAAATTGGGATACAAAGAAACAATCTTTGAGTACATTAGTGTTTTTAATCCTGTTCTTATCCTATTCTTTTCTGTTTCGTTTTTAAAGGACAAGCAGTGCAAAGAAAACAAAAAAAAAGATCATAGACTTCCCCGCTCCAAAACACTACTACTAAGATTTTTTAATAAAAATACTAACATTCATACAATTAGAAAATTTAAACAATATAGAAAGGCACCAAAAAAGGTGAAGGAAAAGCTTCCCCCACTCCCTCTCCTCAAAGGTTAGAACTCTTAAAACATTTCTTGTGATTTCATTCAGAAAAATATTAATAACTCCCCTTTAAAAACATTTTCTGAGCCCCTGAGGCTAAAAGCAGAGATTTTTTTTAGAACACAGCCAAGATTCAGTAGTCCATTGATACTGATCTCTTACAACAAAAAAGATGTAAAGTGCTTCAAAAGCATCACTGCCAAGGCCTAAATGATGGAAATCAGCAATTCCCACCCAATTATCTTGTCTTAGAATGCTAGCAGAGTAAAAGAGAAACATTACTAAAATCTTTAATTTCCTTTACCTCTCTAGGAAATGCCCCAGATATATTCAAAAAGATTCTCTCTCACAGTGTTTCTTAAAACCATTTTAAGGGCCGGGCGTGGTGGCTCACACCTGTAATCCTAGCATTCTGGGAGGCCAAGGCAGGTGGATCGCTCAAGGTCAGGAGTTCCAGACCAGCCTGAGCAAGAGCGAGACCCCGTCTCTACTAAAAAATAGAAAGAAATGATCTGGACAACTAAAAATATATATAGAAAAAATTAGCTGGGCGTGGTGGTGCATGCCTGTAGTCCCAGCTACTCGGGAGGCTGAGGCAGAAGCATTGCTTGAGCCCAGGAGTTTGAAGTTGCTGTGAGCTAGGCTGATGCCACGGCACTCACTCTAGCCCGGGCAACAGAGCAAGACTGTCTCAAAAAAAAAAACAAAAAAAAAAAAACCATTTTAAGCATTAACTTCAAATCTTATGGGATTATTTAATCCAGCTCAAAATTCCAATAGGGTTTTTATTGTCTATGGCCATCGAATCATTTCCTTGCCTCAAGATTAGGCATGAAGATTAAAATGCTTTTTAACACAAGTGGTGCAATCTTTGAAAAATATCAGATGATTTTAAAGCACAACCTGAAACCATGAATAATGATACCTTTTTATGTCCATCATAGGATTAAATTTTAAAAATTAGAAATTAGGTTTATTAAAAACAAGTTGATAGCTATTTTATACATTTTTTTTTTTTTTACCTCTTCATCACATGTGAAATGATGAATAGAAATGTCGTTTGATTTTTGACAGAGCCTTATTTCTTGTTGGGCGTCCAGTTGTGAAGATGGGTCCCAGAAGTTTCGTTCATACGCCTGCATGGTCCAGTCCAGGACATCCCAGATGATCAGCTCTCCAACGTGGGAGCCAGTGACAAAACTCAGATCTAAGCAAAGTTCACATATACCTCATTATTAATCATTTTTATCTAGGCTAAAGGTAAAAATGAATGGACTACCTAGTAGTAACGCTCTATAAAACCACAGTAATTAGAACAGTGGGGTGCTCAAGCCAACAGAAAGATTACTGTAACAGAGTAAAAAGACCACAAATAGACTCAAGTTTACTTAATTATTTAGTATGTGATGATGATTACATTTCATTTCAGTAAAGCAAGAAATACCTCATATTGGAATATTTGGTTAAGTTTTCAGAGAATAAAAATAAAAGAACCTTACTTGTGATCATATACCAAAATAAGTTTCAAATAGATTAAAACATTAAAGGTACTTAAAGGACTGAAAAAAATAAAGGTGAATACTTTTATGAACACAGAGTGGTAAAGGGCTCTAAAGGAAGAATGGTGGACATGCGGGGGTGGGGAATATCCTAGAAAATATCTGCTTGGCCAAAAAAGAAGTCATATACTTAAATGACATAAAGCTGGGGAAAATCTGCAACTTGGATGTACTTGATACATAAAAAGTTTTGGAAGGCCGGGCGCGGTGGCTCACACCTGTAATCCTAGCACTCTGCGAGGCCGAGGC